AATCCAGCTGTTTCAGTATTTAAAAGGTGCAGAAGGAGGAAACAAGATTGCCTGTTGCTGCCACACCAATCAGGATTGGGCCTTTGTGGCCATTTTTAAATGGATAAATTCTCCTCCAAAATGGTGTTGGTGGCCACAGGTTGGTTCCATGGCTACCATCATAGTTTGGCCCTAGCTTTGGTAAAAGACTAGTCTGGATCTAAAAGTTGTTGTGAGTATGCAGAATGTTACTGAATCCTGATACCCACTCATCCCATTTGAAACAAGACTGGAAAAATTAAATAATTGTAACCCAGTCACTTTTATTTAGATGTTTAGATAGGCTAAATCCCCCCCCCCAGTCTCCACAGCTTCCAAGGCAAATACCAGATTTGCAATATGTGCATTAGTGATAAAGGGAATGGATCCCCCAAGTGTGTGTTGCCCCTACAAATCTGGGATCAGGGATCTGGGCTTCCAGCATGCTTCCTTGGCACCTTTTACACAGAAAGTGTTGCTCTTTGGACTCAAGACCCCCTCCAAAAAAAGGACCTGAAGTGTAGTGGGTTAGACGCGTAAAGGGAATGGCTTCCCCAAGTGTGTGTTGCCCCTACATATCTGGGATCAGGGATCTGGGCTTCCGGCATGCTTCCTTGGCACCTTTTACACAGAAAGTGTTGATCTTTGGACTCAAGACCTCCTCCAAAAAAGGACCCATTTTGATTTTATTATATTGCTGGGTTTTTTAAAAAAATAACTGGAAATTAATAAGAAGGCATCAGATTAAATGCCTTAAGTACTCCTTACTTCTAGAAGCTTAAGAAGCAGAAAAACAAGGAGAACTAGCAATTGCTGCTTCAGGTGCCACAAGTTCAAAAGCAGCAGTTCTGGCACCAGGGAAGTAACATATTTCCTCTACTTCATCTCTTAATATGTTGATATCTTGGGGGGGGGGCTATGGCTTTGCTTGACATGCAGAGGGCCCCAGCATTTCCAGTTAAAGTATCTAGCAGATGGTGATGTGAAAGATCTCTGCCTGTGAAAAGTATGCAGACGGAGAGCAATCTCAGCTCAACCTACTTTTACTTAGTTCAGAACAAGACAAAGAAGCCGGCTCGCAGGCCGGCGTATATGCCCCAGGAAAACACCCACCCACCCACACACCACACCCATGATTGGCTATTTACAGTGTCCGCGAGATCCATAGGCTCTCGGTTGGGATCCGAGCCCTCCTATTGGTGCGGGCTAGGATCCACTTGACC